CTGAGTCCAGGTTCAGAAGTGGTTCCAGCTCCGGCTTCCCGGCGGTGCACACCCTGGGAGGCAGCAGACGCCGGCCCGGGGACTAGGTTCTCAGCCACCCAGGGAGGAAACCCAGGGCGTGTTCCTGGCTTCAGTCCTGGACCCGGCCCAACCCCGGCCACTGCAGGCATTTGGGGAATGAAGCAGCAGATGTCAGCGCGCTCCACCTCTCTCTCTCCTCCTCCTCCTTCTCAAGTAAAATAAAACTGGGATTGAGCAACACACAGGTGAATGATTAAATGCACACTAGTAATTTGAAATGGTAATTTTTCTGTACTTAGGACAATGTTAAGTAGCGAACAAAAACCCCCATGACAAGTCGGAAGAGAGATCGCAGAAGGACACATCTTGTGGTTTGGCGATGTTTCCTGCTTTTTGAAGAAAGGACTCCACACTTTGACTGCGTATTGAGCCCCCAAGTTGTCACTGTCTGGTTGTCACGTGCCAGGGTGGGTCCCTCAGGGAGGGGTGGCAGCCAGAGGGTGGGCAGCATAGGAGGGAAAAGATCAACAGAACAGGGAGAAATACACAGCTTGAAACAAGAGCCCCCGACAGCCGGTGAGTGGCTCCGCCACACGTGACACCTTCAAGTGTTGTAACACTGGAAGTTCATAGTTGTACACACACACGGGAGCGTGGATGGCGTCGAATCCATAACCACCCCCAGCAGTGCATTCTCAAGTGATCTTTGCTTTAAAAGTTATTTACTTATTAATTTTCATTTTTATTTACCAGAGAATAACAAAGAGAGGTCTTTCATCTACTGGTTCGTTCTTCAAATGCCTGCAATAGCTGGGGTTGGGCGAGGAGAAAGCCAGAACTCAGTCCAGGTCTCTCCCATGGGTGCAGGGACCTAAGGACTTGAGCCATCACCTGCTGCCTCTCAGGGGGTGCATTGGCAGGAAGCTGGGACTGAAATCCAGGCGACCTGATGCAGGGACAGACGTCCCACACGACTTGTTTGCTGCTACACAAATCCCCCACCTGCTTTCCACTTTTTATCTTATATACTGAGCTCAAACAACAGAGAAACAATATATACATATTGTGTGCACTGATCTTTTTTTAATTTATTTAATTTTTTTACTTATTTGACAGGTAGAGTTAGACAGTGAGAGAGAGATACAGAGAGAAAGGTCTTCCTTCTGTTGGTTCACCCCAAAATGGGCACTACAGTTGGTGCTGCGCCTATCCTAAGCCAGAAGCCAGGTACTTCCTCCTGGTCTCCCACACGGGTGCAGGCACCCAACACCTGGGGCATCCTCCACTGCCTTCCCAGGCCACAGCAGAGAGCTGGACTGGAAGAGGAGCAGCTGGGACTAGAACCCGGCACCCATATGGGATGCCTGCGCCACAGGCGGAGGATTAACCAAGTGAGCCATGGCGCCAGCCCCACACTGTTCTTTTTAAACTGCATCTGCACTGGGGGAAGAGGAAGAATGTAACCATGGAGTCAGACTCGGGCTCAAATCTCAGCTCTGAAGTTTGCAACCGCAGGATTTAAGCCAAGTTCAGTACCGTCTCTCAGTCTCGGCCCATTCGTGAAATAGGAATGCTGGTTGTTGTGAGTGGTCAGTGGGATAACCAGAGGCTTGGACCCGGGGAACGAGAGCTTGGCCTGGGCTCGAGAACAGTGCCCCAGCCACGCTGTGCAGCAGGCCTCTGTCAGAGGCTGACAGAGAGGGCAGGTGTGCTGGGAGGAGGGCTGGAGCCAAATGCAATCGCGCTGCCTTCAGGAGCCCATGGGGGCGGCAGGTGGGACGGGGCAGGAGAGAGTGCACTGGGCAGAGGTGAGAGGAGTGCCGCGCCCCGGGAAGGGGTCCTGGCTTAGTGAGGGGATGATGGAGGGCCTCTTTAGGGATGCACCGATGCCTTCAGCAATGCTCCCGGGCAGGCCGGAACCTGGAGTCCTGGAAGGGCTGAGCCACTCCCTGCAGGCTGAGGGGTGAGAGGCATCACGAGGCCGCGCTGCAAGGATTTTGCAGGATTTAGTCAGATTTTCCCATAGCAAACAATGCAATGCGCATGACGTAGTCGTGGAGACAGAAGCCAGTGTGCGTTGTGACTGAGTCGATGCAGAGCACTTTGAAGTGATGGCCCAGCCTGGCTCTGCCCATGTACGGGAGACTGACCACAGGTGGACTCCTCCCAGGCATAGGTGCGCCTGAGCCATTCTCTTCTGCCTGACAACACACTGCCCGCTGTGTGAATGGGTGAGTGGATGGGAGGAAGGATAGAAGGGAGGGAGGGGGAGAGGGAAGGAAGGAGGAAGAGAAGGAGGGAGGGAGGGAGGGGAAGGGTGGGAGGGAGGAAAGGTGGATAGGTGGATGAGTGGATGGCTGAGTGGATGGATGGACAGGAGGGTGAGTAGATGCATGACTGGATAGATGGGAGAGGGGATGGGTGGGTGCACGTGTAGGTACATGAGTATGTAGATGGAAGAAGGGAGATACGAGTGTAGATGAATAGAAGAGTATGCAATTATTTTATGATTGAAAAATAATTTTGATGGCAAGACACAACTTAATGACAAGTACATAGATGAAAGGTAGAGTGTTTTGTGAGTTACAGCTCCAAACGAGAACAAGGCAGGGCCACCCAGGAGTCTGCACCGGGGGACAGGGTACCAGCAAGCTTGGGCTCTAGAAGACAGCTCTGTGTGGCAAGCAGATGTCTCAGGCTCCCTGTGAATCGATTAATATAAAAGATGCCCTGAGTCCCGGGGCATCAGGTCTGCCCATGGCTGTTCGGCCCTGGCCCCAAGGTGGTTAGAACAGGAGCAGGGTGGACCCGAGTGTGCGAGTCTGCTGAGGCAGGTGGCTGGAGTCAGCTGTTCAAGAGCCGAGAGCCCCTAGCCAGGACCTCAGAATTGGGGCAAGACAGCACTTAAAAAAAAAAAAAAAGACTGTACGTGATGGGTGGAGAAGAGTGAAGATGGGCAGGTGCCATGGGGCTGCCCCAGCCGTGGTATCCACCGCTCACTGGATTCAGGCCTTTGAGGGTTTTCTCCCAGCTGTAGGACCTACAGTGTCCAGGCTGGGAGCAGCTTCAGGGCGTCTCTGTGCACGTGGGACACGTGGGACAGCACGCACGCTTGGGATCAAAGATCCCCTCAGTGATGTGATGAAGGCTCCTCCTCCCTGGGAAAAAACACACGCAGTTCTGAACATTTTTTTTTAAAGATTTATTTCTTTATTGAAAGGCGGAGTTACAGAGAGGCAGAGGCAGAGAGACAGAAAGAGAGATCTTCCTTCTGCTGGTTCACTCCCCAAATGGCCACAATGGCCAAGGCTGGGCCAGACCAAAGCCAGGAGCCAGGAGCTTCTTCTGGGTCTCCCACATGGGTGCAGGGGCCCAAGCACTTGGGCGATATTTCTGCTGTTTTCGCAGGAGAATTAGCAGGGAGCTGGATCAGAAGTGGAGCAGCCAGGACTCGATCCAGCGCCCATACGGAATGCCAGCGCTGCAGGCGGTGGCTTAACCTACTACACCACAGAGAGGGCCCCAGGAGCACTGTTTTAAGGGGCTTCCCAGAGCCCATCCATGGACCTCGGTCCCCACCTGGGAAGTGCAGACACCCCAGGCCAAGCAGCCCCGATGTGGTTGAACAGGTCAGGGTGCAGATGAGTCAGCAAAGATCAAGTCAGAGCAGGACTTGACTCAAGTTTATACAACCAGGTCACAGCCAGGCCAGGGCCAAGGCCAGATGCCAGGCCTCCCCCAGACTTTCCTGGAGATCATTGGGCTTCATCCCTGGCTTCCACGGAAGAAAGGGTCAGGGGAAGGGGGAGAGCAGCCAAGGCTAGGACCCTCCTGTTTGTACAACTCCATCTGATCCACTCTTACCCGGTATCTCTCTTCTTCTCTCTTAAGATTTGTGTGTTTATTTATTATTTATTTACTTGAAAAAGAGAGAGAGTGAGCGAGAGAGAGAGCGCACTCTTCCGTCTGCTAGTTCACTCCCCAAATGCCTACGACAGCCAGGGCTAGGACACGATGGAGACAGGAGCCCAGAACTCCATCCAGGTCTCCCACACGAGCGCCAGGGATCCAAGTACTTGGGCTATCATCTGCTTCCTTCTCGGGTGCATTAGCAGACAGCCGGAGCAGAAGTGGGGCAGCCAGGACTAGAATCAGCGCTCCTGTATGGGATGTGGACATCCTTGGTGCCAGCCGAACCCGCTGAGCCGCATCCGCCCCCGTGGTCTCCTTTTGCTGGAAGGGTTATAGGACTTCAGTAAGAGTGCTTGAGGGGCAAGCATTCAGCCTTGCAGTGACCGGCCCACCTTTGATATAGGGGTGCCTGGGCCTGACACCCAGCTCCCTGCTGACGCAGACCCTGGGAGGCGGCGTGATGGCTCTCGTCACTGCACTCCTCCCAGCCACCGGGACACCTGCCTTGTGTTCCCAACTCCCAGCTCCAGTTCCGAGTCCAGGCCTGGCCATGGTGGGTATCTGGGGAGCAAACCAGCAGACAGGAGGGTGGGAGCTCTCTCTCTCTCTCTTTCTCTCCTCTCTTTCCCAGCCTCTCTCTCTCTCTCCCCACCCCCGCCCCTGCCTGTCAACTATATATTGTCCAAATATCCCCACACTTCCCAGCCCCTACCTTCTCGGATCCAGGTGAGTTAAGGGCTGTGTCGGGGAGACTATGGGGTGACCTGAGGAAGCTGGGATGTTGGAGGGGGAGCAATGCATCCCAAACATCTCCCAAGGCATGGCCGCACCTCGGGGCAGCACCTGTCAGCAGAGAAAGGACAGGGCCAGGTGCTTGCTCTCTGAGCTTCTGCCCCACTCAGTCACCCTCTGGAGAGAAACAAGGCGCAAAAAGAAATGTCAGGAAACCTCTCCCGCCCCGGGTCCCCTGGGTGTAAATGCTCCCTGCTCACACCCACACCACAGACACAAAACAACCAGGATAAGCTGGGAGTGTTCCGTCTTTGTCCTGGTCAGCCACGGTAGCCCAGGGCCACGGCGGGAACCTCCCTGTGGCTCACAGGGCCCCTGAAGCTCTGAGGGCGGCCACAGCCATCCCCGCCTGGCCTTTGCAGGCCACCGGAGTTGGGGAAACTGCCGCCAGCCGGCCGCAGCCCAGGACAGGGACGCAGTACTGCTTGGCTGGAGGTGGCGGGAGGAGGTGCCCAGGAGGGCGATGACATCACCACCCAGCCCTTGAAAGATGAGCTGTTCCCCCGCCTCTCGGCTCCCGCGGGTCTCTGAGGGGTGGGGAGGACCGGCAGCTCTACTGGCTGGACCCAGGGAACCGAGGGAACCGCCAAGTGCCCGGCCGCTCTGGACAAGGTGAGTGCCGAGTGCCTGGCGGGGGCTGACCCAGCAGCTCTCCTGTGCCCGCGCGGCTGCGGGAGAAGTTTCGCTCGGGTCCTGGGGAGTTGGGGGAAGCTCCCAGGCTCCCCGGGTCTGGCCAGTGACTGAGGAGGGGGTTCCGGGCAGGAGGACCTGTCTTGCGGATTCCAGGTTCCTCTTTTCCTGGAAGCATGCTGCGTGCTGCTTAGGGATTTGATTTCTGTAGACTCTGAGCAGATAAAGCGGCAGGAGGAAGGGCGGGACAGCAGGGGACGGCAGGGCCAGTGTGGGGCCCTTGGCTTCCAGCTGGGCGGCCCGTGGGCCCTGTGTGTTGCTGGATAGGTGACTAAACCTCTCTGTGCCCCTGTTCTGTCCGCAAAGGCCCCTGCTCCTCTGCTTCCTGGGCACGGCAGGAGGCAATCAGACAGCAGAAAGGAGTGGGTTTGGCAAATGGTGGGTGATGTGCTTTGGGGAGGTGGTTGGTGGGTGGTGGTGCCGCCATCTCAGACAGGCTCCGGTCCCTCCTGTCACAGCCCTGGCGTCCAGCATGGAGGGCAGCCCCCGGCTCTGCGGGGGCACTGTCGGGCGAGCTACTCTGTCCCACTCTCCTGAGCTGTAAGGAAGGCCTGGTTCTGTAGGCAGTGTATGCAGTAGGCGGTCAATACTTAGTAGCCGCTACTCAAATTGCTCCGTGAGTCTAGGTGGGGGAGGGCAGTGGGCGTGGCTCTCCCAGGCAGGTTAGGATGCGCCTCACTGAGTCACCGGCTCCCTGTGGCTCTGCCGCCCACAGGAAGCAGAGCTCAAGCCTGGGTGTGGGGCAGTTAGGGGCTCCAGCGCGAACCCCACCTCTTACCTTCTCTGAGAGAAGAGCTTGGGAGGCTGGGGGCAGGGCGAGTGACCCCAGACGATGCCACCGCCGCAGATGGGGTGCCAGGGGACTTTCGGCAGTGGTGAGTCCCACGAGCTTGGAGGGGACTTTGCTCTGTGGGGGCAGCCAGGAGGAGGGATTGTGGGGAAGCATCGGGGGCCGGAAGGCGCACCTGCTAGCCCCACAGGCAGCACCCCAGGGTCTCGTGCCAGCTCTGTCCTGAATGCCCCAGACCCCAAGCCCCTCCCAGGACAGATAGGGAAGCCGAGTCTCAGGGGCACGCGGCTCGGCCACACCCTTTCTTCAATGTCCCCAGAAGTCCCTCCACCTCCTGGGGACTCGGTCTCTGTCCCCTTTACCCACGGGGTGGTCCGGATGATTGATGGAGCCTGCCAGGTGGGCAGAAGCACTCGGGATTAAGCCGCATTTGGCAGAGACTGACCAGCAGGACTGGGCAGGGGAACAGCTACACCGTGTGGCCTCTGCTCACACGGCGACCGCCTGGGTAAGCAGTCATGGGCATCTGAGGGCAACAGCTCCTCTCCCCTGTGCTGCGTGGGGTCAGGGAGGGTCCCCCAGGAGGGCCCCCTCCCCCGGGGCCAGGGAGAGCCCCACGGACTGGCCGAGGGATGACAGCAGCGACGGTGTCTCCACGGCCCAGGACGAGGCAGCACTAGGGTGTCCTGCTGAGCGACCCAACAGTCACTGAACACAGGAACGCGTCTCACGGCCGGCCTCAAAGGACCGGGCTGCACTGAGTCGAAGAAGCCGCTTATGAAAAGGCGACACACGGTGCGGGGCCAATGACACAGGAGAGTCTAGAAAATTCTGGAGAATGCAAACCTGCGGAGTGGGTGGAAGGGTCAGTAGGTGGCCGGGGGATGCAGGGCACAGAGGGGCTGCAGGACAGTGAAGCCGTGCTCTGTGGGACTCCAGCGGCGGGAGGTGACGGTCCACCGCGTCCGAGCCAGAGAGAGCCCCGCGCCGAGAGTGAGCCCTAACAGAGCCGCAGGCTCGGGGTGCCGACGTAGCTGCGGGCTCACCAGGTCTGGACACACAGCCCCGAGGCTGCGCATGCCTGGGGGTCGGGTCCACGGGGCCTCTGGAACTTGCTCCTCAGTTTTGCTGTGAACCTAAACCTGCCAGGAACAAGAGAAAACAGCAACCAGGGGTTGAAAAGGCGCTGAGCACCCCAGGGCTCCGGGGGTCATGGGAGCTCCTAAGCCTGCGTCCCCTCCGTCACCCACCCAGGCTAGGGAGCCCCCGGGTCTCCGCTCAGTGTGCGTGCTTCCGGGGGCGGGGAGTGTCTACACAGCAGCTAGCCTGTTCCATCTCAGGAGAATTCCACTCATGAGGAGCTCTGCCCTGGGCGCAGGCAAACCCGATCCCCATGGAGCAACGGGCCCGCTTTCTGTTCCTTGGAGTTCTCTGATCAAGGGTCCCTAGCCTGCCCCGTAGGAGGACGGCCAGATCCCAATCCCCCCCCCACGTCCTCTGCTTTCCCTGGGGACCCGCTGCCCCAGAACACACCCTAGGTGTCCGGTGTTTGTCAGCATGGTGGGATCTACAGGGCTCTGCGGGTTAACAGGTGTGAGCCCCCACCCCCAAAGTAAACCATCGCCATGCGGAGCAGAGCAGGACAGGGCCTTGGGTTCGAATCCTGCCTGTGGCACTGCTGAGCCTCCGGTCTCTCCCTGTGCCGTGGGAAGCATCACCCTGCCTCTGAGGACCGTCCTGAGGCTGGGGCAGGCACACTGCGGGTGCCCAGGGAGCCCAGGGATGGCCGCAGAGGCAGAAGGAACAGCCTAGGACTGCCGGAGGTGCTGTGTTTGCCTTGTGGTAGGGAACCCGGAGCTTGGGGGACCCCAGGGAAAAGCGCCCCCCCCACAACCGCCCAAGCTCCTAGGCAGCGCTCTGGGAGGCGGTGACAGCAAGGGGCCCTCATCCCGACTCCCTTCAGGGTCCAACCCTGGGTTCAGCCAGACCCCTCCCCACCCACCCACCCGATATCTCTGGCCTCTCTGAGCTCTGCCTCCAGGGCAGGGAGTGGCAAAGGGTCCAAGACCTGGGCAGCTAAGCCACATGGCAGAGCCGGAAGTGGCCAATGCCCGACGGCGCCTGGGGTGTTGTAAACTCTGGAGTGCCGGGCACCGGTCGTGGGGGTTGTTGTAAACTATAGAGTGCCGGGCATTGGTTGTGGAGTGTTGTAAACTCTGGAGTGCTAAGTAGGCACTGACTGTGGGGTGTTGTAAACTCTGGAGTGCCGGGCAGTGGTCGTGGGGTGTTGTAAACTGTGGAGTGTCGGGCACTGGTCATAGGGTGTTGTAAACTCTGGAGTGCTAGGTAGGCACTGACTGTGGGGTGTTGTAAACTCTGGAGTGCTGGGCACTGGTCGTGGGGTGTTGTAACCTGTGGAATGCTGGGCACTGGTCGTGGGGTGTTGTAACCTGTGGAGTGCCGGGCACTGGTCGTGGGGTGTTGTAAACTCTGGAGTGCTGGGCACCACCGATGCAGCCCTGTTGCTCTGTGGCTGTTGCTGTGCTGCTTTGCTCCTCTTCCCTGTAGGGGTCCCACGGAGGAGGGAGGGAGGTGGTCGGGGGCAGGGACCAAACCTCGTTGTGCCTCGGAATCCCTGACGGCTGCCCCTGCTCAGGGACTCGGGATGTGGGTACCAGAGCACCTGCTGATGTCTCTGGGGGTTTTCTTAAACATTTTTTGCTTACTCACTTATTTGGGAGACAGGGTCCCCATCTGCTGGTTCACTCCCCCAAGAAGAGTGGCTCTCCCTTCCTCTCTGCACAGCCCCCCCGGCTATGCAACCAGGGACAGATGATTCGACGTCTTTGAGCCTGAAAAGTGGGGCCACCCTCGTCGGGGGCCTTCATGAGGCCATCGAGGCGCGGCTGACAGATGGCGGCAGGCAGAGGGGCCAGGACGTGGGCAGCAGGTGCATCGTGGTGCTTCCCCTGAGGGTCCCAGCACACCTGCTCATGGGCACACACGTGGCGGCTGGGCAGACACAGGGCGGCTGAGAGTGTGGCTGTGTTGGGGGGAGGGGGAGACAGGACCAGGAGGGAGGCTCCTGTATGGGCACTGTGGTCTCCTTTGTTCTCTGAAATGTGTGTACCCCCTGCAGGGTGCTCCCTGGAGGGCGGTAAGGAGACAGGTCCACACTGTGTCCATCCACCCTGCATCTGCCCCTACGTGGCAGGGAGGGCCTGGGGGCGAGGGGCAGCAGCGGCTCATGGCACCGGGGAGCCAGCACCGCCAAGGGGCCGCTGGGGGAGCCTGGGGGGCGGTGGCGGCACAAGTGGGCCTGGGTCACTGCAGTAGGCCTCCCCCGAGCCCCCACTAGGTGCTCGCTCTGTGCTGGGCCCTGGTGCCGCAGGGGACCCAGAAGTGGGCTCTGCTGCCCGAGGCAGATCCTAGGGAGCGGCATTTTTCTGAAAAGGGAAAAAAAAAAAAAAACTTGATTAAGAAGCCTTTCAGCCAAAGGGGAATTCAATCACGTTGTGTAGTCAAGACAGGAAACGCAGGGCTGTAGGAAAGATGGTCGTGACCGCGAAACCCATCAGCGTGCAGGGCTGTGAGCGTGAGGCTCGCGCAGCGTTGTCGCGGTCGGGGGAACAGAACAGAAGAGATCTGGGAGGGGCCTGGGCGAGAGCGTCTTGTACTTCAACCAAAGCAAAAAACGCAGGGAGCTGGCGGGGAGAGTGGGAAGACGTCTGTGTTTTTCTGGGAGGAGAATTTGTCAATGGATGGGATTCCACGACAGCGTGGAAATGGGGTATTTTGCACTGTGCCCTGCAAAGAATACACCCTCCTCACACGCTATGCCCAAGCAGTCTTTACAGAAACCTGCTGTCCTGGTGCCCACAGAAGAGCCCACGATGGGCTTAGAGGAAGGACTCTGACGGGCTGCATGCTGTGGAAATTGACATCAAATATGAAAGTCAATCGTGGCCAGTGCTGCGGCTCACTTGGCTAATCCTCTGCCTGCGGCCCTGGCACACCGGGTTCTAGTCCCGGTCAGGGTGCCGGATTCTGTCCCAGTTGCCCCTCTTCTAGGCCAGCTCTCTGCTGTGGCCAGGGAGTGCAGTGGAGGATGGCCCAAGTGCTTGGGCCCTGC